TAAATAGAAGAGTAAAATTTTAAAGTATTTGAAATTTATCATATAGTTCAATTTTTGTGTATTTTAAAATTATTAACATTTTATTGATTTCCAAATAAATTGTAAAATATATGCCATTAATTGCAGTTGTTGCCAGCATCACCCGTCTGCTACTGCCAGTTGTTGTCATTGTCCACCTTCCGTCACTTGCTATAGGCCACCAATTAATGGATGTCACCACCATCGGAACCAACTGCCACCCACCACCATTCTTGTAGGACGTCCATCCATTGTTGGCTGCCGCTAGCCGTAAAGAATCACAATCATTGGACATTATGCTATATTTATTTTATTGCTATTTTAAATTAAATAACAAATAATTAAGTAAATTATATACATTCGTCCAAATAATTTAAATTATTTAAAAAACATTGGTATTGTATTTTACATTTATTTTTAGTAAATCAAGTTACCTTTCAAGGGGCTATTTGGTAGTGCAATTTAAGTATGGTTTATGCTTATAAATTGATACTAAATTCTGCCAAATGGAAAAATTGGCCGCTGTAAATTCGTATCCCGCATAAATATGAATTTAGCATTTTTTGCTATAAATCCTAGATTTACTAAATCTCGTAGTTCGATGGATTTAAGGGATTTGTGACTCGTGTGACGTCCTTGTGGAGAAAGATGGTTACCTTCGCAGCGAACAAGCTCCCATTGTGACTTTCGATCCAACATTGGAGGAAGCAAAAAAGCTTCTTTAGTGACTCTTTTAACACACTACTTGTCGCATCTCATGATTTATATTGGAAGAATTATACATGTTTTTATTTTAGCCATTTAACTAGAGCTTACAAATTTCTTATAAAAAATAGAAATAATTATGCATCAAATCATAGGATTATTATTTTCCTTTTTTGAGATATGTAAAACTACTCAATGAGCACATAACATAGTAAGTAATTAAAATCTTACAACTAAAATCAAGGCAAGATAATATGCTATAAATCATATAAAAATATATATGCATTAATGTATCTATACATATTATCTATCTCAATAATCACTATATAACATATCATATCTTAGTCAATTCTATTTTATTCTTCCATCATAAATTCTAATCAATCAATTAGTCAATTGATCTTTATCACTCAATCAATTTCATTCAATCTTACCATCCATTCAACTCGCATCAATATGTTATTTATATTCATAGTATCAATAACAATATTTAATATGAGTAATATAATTGTATCAGTAACAATATCAATAATCAATACCATTATAAAAAATTAGTAATCAGTGTCAGTAGTAGTATCAATATCAATAATCAGTGTCAGTAACATTAACCACCATCAATAATGCAATTTCGAGAATCTATGTATCGCATATCTGACACTAGAATGATTATCTTAAATTATTCGAGGTATTGCTCATGTACGTATGACTCCCAATCAGTCATCCCTTACGGCTTCAAATCAATGTACTCTTTATAACTCCACTTGAATCACGTAAATCAATCACGCTGACTCTTTATAACTCATAATAAATCTCCAACTTCATATGACTCCCATCAGTGATAGTAGAGTATCAAGTGAGATTATCATATTATATATTTGATATCAATGAATACATCATTTCAATAGTACTAGTAGTACATTCCAGTATATATCACTCATATAAGTACATTTCATTTTCAATATACTTTTTCCCTACTCATTTTCATATAAATTCATATACACTGGTTTAACAAATAAAAATACAACAAAATCATATCAAACTATTCATAATGATAAAATATATAACATATCAAAAGTTAAACGATGAAAGTTATGAGATCATGAGTAATGTATTTTTGATAAATTTAAAATAGATAAAATATGTATAAATCAAACCATTAAAAATATTAGTAAGATATTAGTCACTTATAACAACTATAATAAAATTATTAACAAGAACGACGGTCAAATATGACCCAATGATCTTTCTGTCTCTCTTTTATCTTCTTCTCCTCCAATTTCTTCCTGACCAGATAATAAAACGAGGGAGGTGGTAGGTAAGGCAGAGATATTTATAATAAAAAATATATAAACTTACTATTAATGGCCTAACACCATAGCACTCTACTTCACTTTTTTTTAAATAAATTCATTTCATACTTTTAAGTTATTACAATCTCTCCATCTTCGAAAAATATTATCCTCAACATTTCTATATTAGTTAGAGAGAGAGAGAGAGAGAGCATGCTTAAAATAAAATTTTAAACTCAAGTCAACTTATTATAAATAAAAATTCACATCAAATCGTAACAAAAAAAAAAAGTCAGAAAACATAACTTTGAGATGGATAAAAGAACACAAAATCATATCAGTGAATTCATTTTCTTATGCATGAATAGTTAAACAAATTGTTAAGATAAAATTATGTCTGCAACTCGTATTCATGCATGTAAAACAAAATCCCATTTCTATTCTGCATGTACGGTCTCTATTCTACTCATAAGCTCTAATTATATTTTAATTCATCCATTAATCATTACTATGATACCATTTTGTCACACTCTAGGATATATATTAGAAGAATTATATCTATATTTTATTTTAATCATTTAACTAGAGTTTCTCAATTTCTTATGAACAACAAAAAAATTATGAATGTTTGTTGATGCCTCATATCAGATGATCCTTACCGGTTTTTAAAAATATATAAAACTACATACTGAGCACATAACCCAACAAGTAATCAAAATCTTACTACTAAAATCAATGCAAGGTAAAAGAAAATAATATGCTATAAATCTTATAAAAATATATGCATAAATATACCTATATCGGTTATATGTATCAATAATTAGTCAATAACATATCATACCTTAGTCAGTACTATTTCATTCTTCCATCATAAACTCTAATCAATCAATTAGTCAGTTGATCTTTATCACTCAATAAATTTTATTCAATCTTATCATATATTCAACTCACATCAATCTATCAGTTATAGTCACAATATTAATAATAATATTTAGTATTAATAACAGATCGAATTGTATTAGTAATAATATTAGTAATCAAGATCAATATCAAAAATCAGTAATCAGTGTCAGTGTCATTATCAATAAACAATATCCATATCAGTAATCATTATCAATATCAATAATCAATATCAGTAACAACAATTAACATCAATAAAAAAATCAGTATTAGTAGAAATTTTAACATAAGTATAACCATCTAACATCAAGATGAGGTTATCTTGAGTTTGCATGTATTACATGCAATCAATTATATCAGTGAATCAATATTCTATTAGATATTAATGTGAGGGTATCTTAAGAGTATATTGCTCCTGTACTTGTGACTCCTAATCAATCACCCATAATGACTTCCAATCAGTGTACTCCTTATAACCCCCCTTTAATCACATTAATTAGTCGCCCCGACTCCTTATAACTCCCAGATAATCTCTAGCTCCTTGTGCCTCCCATTAATGAATCACATGAATTAGTAGAGTATCACGTGGGGTTATCATATCATATATTTGATTTCAATCAGTACATCATTTCACTAGTACCAATAGTACATTCTAATACATATCAGTCATATTAGTACACTCCATTTTTAGTATATTTCTTCCCTACACATCACATGAAAATTCATATACATAGATTTAATCGATGAATATACAATAAAATCATATCAAATTGTTCAGAATGATCAAATCTATAACATATCAAAAGTTAAACGGTGAAAGCTTAAGAGATCATGAGATAATACATTTTTGGTAAAATGTAAAAGAAGTACAATTCGTAGAAATTAAAAACATTGAAAATATGAGTAAGTGATACTTACAACGAATAAATTAAAATCCTTAGCAGTAATGACAGACAATTATGACCCAAATGCCTTTCTTTCTCCTTTCTCTTCTTCTCGTACTTCAATTTCTTCCGAACCAAACAACCAAGTGAGGAAGGAGGTGAGATGAGGCAGAAATATTTATATTAAATATATATAAAAATATTATTAGTGGCCTAGCACCTCAATGCTCTACTTCAGAACCATCATGTTTTTGAAATAAATTCATTTCATACAATAGGTTATTACATTATTTCACGTGAAGGACGTGAGGCCTAAGCAACAACGAATGACTTGCGATGAGGAAAAGCAACAATAATGAAGAAATGGAGAAGATTAAAAGCAACCCTAGATAGCCTCCATCTAAATTAGTAATTAATCTAATTTAGCATAATTATAGTATAATTAGCAAATCCTAGGTGGCCTCTAAAATATTAATAATTAATTCACTTAATTAAATAATTATTATTTTAGTTAGTAGTGTAATTAAGTAATCTAATTAAGATTAATTAAATAATTAGTTGTATAATTTGTAATTAAAATGAATATAATTAGCTTAGGAATTAGACTTTGAAATAGAATAATTAATTGTATGATTAACATTATAAATAATAATTAAATTATTAGTTAGTAGTACAATATTTAAGTGGTTAATGAAATAATTAATAATATTATTAATAATTAAAACTAATTAAACAAATTTTAAATAAATAATAAAATCATTATTAGAAGTACTAGTTACATAGTTATTTTAAAAAATAATTAACTTATTAATTAGGTAATTATCAATATAATTAGATATCAAATACTTAATAATTAGTTTGATAATTAGTAATTAAATTATTTGATAGTTAAACAAAATTTTAATTATATTATTTTTCATTATAATTAATTGATAGTAATTAAGATTAAAATTAATTTTTAAATGAATCAATCACCTTAAATTCTAGATTATATTGTCAAATAATTTTATGAAATTTAACAAAATTTAATAACTTTCTTGAAAAATAATTTTTAGAATTTAAAGTATAAATTTACTAAAGTCAGATTTATACTAATTCATATTAAAGTTAAATCCCCTTGTTGCCAAACAGCTCCTAAAATTCTTTCAGCCGTAAAAAACCCGAGAGATATTTAAGCGACAGAGATCACACGCACATTGTCGGTTCCTCAGTAATTTATAACTACGCCTCTCATTTTCCTCTTTTGTGGCGTTCTTGGCGTCTTCCCACGTGAACAAGAAAGCTCAGCCTGATTACAGGGGCACCGATTACAGGACTCCATTGGTGGTACGATTTGCTGTCTAGGCAAAATGGGAGCATCTTCTTGGCCCAGCGCTGCGGAGGTGAGATCCCCGCTCCAACTGGTATTAAATTCTTCTTGCTTTTCCGATTCTCTAATGTATTTTTATCCACTAATGCCTTACTCACGTGGGGATATTATTGATCTCTTTTCCATTTTAACACGACGATATTGTTCACATGGTGTCGATATTTGCTAATGTCTCATCTCCATATTTTGGGTTTATTCGGTTAATTTGGGTATGGAGTGTCGCCAGTGCTTGAAGTTGTGAAGTTGGGTCCTTTTGCTGTAATTTGCTCTGTTCTCTGCCCTTAGATCTGTTCTTTCTTGTGTACGGATTTGAGCAATGGCATCTTCTGCTGCATTGGCTTTGAACTGTGAGTTGCATTATGTGGTATATTTATGTTGGTGGGGGGAACTAACTTGTGACTTTTTCCGGTTCCAGCTTTCTGACGCGAAGAAGAAGGTTGCTGAAATGAGCGGAAGAGATGTTGCAGATGTGAGGGTTGTTATCTCTCCGTACAGAATCTGCCCGCTAGGAGCTCACATTGATCACCAGGTTACTAAGTCTTTCGTATTTTTAGTTTACTTTCTTTTGCATGCGCTTGACTGAGGTGTAACGGCTTGGGTTTAATTATGTTTTTTGAAACTAAGTTAAATTTTTCTTTTCCTTGTGCATGCTTACCTTGGAAAAAGTGTTATGGATGGTAGCAACTATGTTAAACTATTGTTCTCTTCATAAATGTAGCCTTGGATGGAACAATTCTCACATTTTGGGCTAATCAGTATTGGCTTTGTTAATTGAGATCTAGAAAGCTGGAGTAAGATTATTAAATGCTCTATGACATTCTAAGAGGCTGGATTTGCATTTACTTAAGAATTTAGGAAGATTTTTTGTATGCACGTGAATCTAATTTCTTAAGTTGTCTCATATTTTCTTAGGATCACATGAAGAGCATTATTTCCAAGTAATTGTTCATTTGTTTTTGTTTTTCATTTCATTTATTTTTTTCTTTTGGTTGGACAGGGGTGCTTATGATGTTTCAAGGATCTTTGAGTTAGTTCTTTTAAGTTTTTGAATTGAGATTTATATGAATACAAGGAGATTCGTAGTAGCAATATGATTAAATTTGTAAACTTTGGCATACTAGTATAAGTGAGTATACATGGAGTGTCAACCCAATTTGATATGACCCACAAATATAGGTCACACTGTGTTGGATGGTGATAGAATAGAGGCATAACAAAATAGAGCAAGATTTTTTATTTGGAGAAACATCATATTTCTTTTAGGATAACAAAAATTATAACTTTTATTTTTTTCCATAATACATAAATTTACTCTTCCACGAAAGTATACAGTATAGATTCCCGCTATAATAGTCCTTGACAATAGTTAGACATAGGGTAGGAAATACAGAAATGCAAAGACTATTAAAAAATCTAAAACAAAAATAGAAAAATGTACCTATACACCAGACAACCTAGAAAATCGGCCTTAGCTACTCAATCGACCCTTTTCCTTTCCCCTGACTTGAAAATAAAATGCAAAATATAAACTGAGCTAACACAGCTCAGCAGATTCATTATCCAAACTATTTCTTAATCATTGCAAAAACCAATACTTTAAATAAAATAGTTATTACAATCTTAATAACAGACTTATAGTAGTGTTGTTAAAACAGTACAAGATTTTACATATAACTAAACATATTATAAAATTCATAGCGCAATATGTTAAACAGATTGTAAAGTATACTGAATGGAATATAAATAAATACACAATACATAATAGAATGTAACATAACCTCATCCCTTAGATCTCCCATTCAGAACAGCAAAACCCTTATGCCTCCCATTCAAAATTACTTACCCTCAGGCCTTCCAGTGCTCTTAGCACATTCAAAATTTTCGCAATAGAATTCCATAGATATAACTTACTGAATTCCACGACCAACATTTTAGCAATCACACTCAATAGTGTAGCTAAAATGTTACGCGTAACATTGGACCGGTCCCGGCTGGACCAGTCCGGTTCTACACCCGGCGGTCCAGAGCCGGGTGGAACCCGCCGATCGCAGAAACGGCGGACGAAGGAAGTGGGCTAGGCGGATTTTGAGCGTTTTGTTGGAGGGAATTTTTGAATGAGGAGGGTGTTTATGTAATTTGTATCTTTCATTTTGCTTTAATTAGAGAGTTATGAGAGAATTAGGGATCATCTTGAATTGGTGTTTTCTCTTTGAGATCTAGGTTTTGTTTTGGGCTCTTGGCTTCGCCGGAGACTTTGGAGAGTACGTTCTTCCGCTCGAATTGAAGAACAAATTGTATCTTTACTATTTTATTCGTCTACTAATAAAATACTAGCCTTTGCTTGCGTTGGATCTCAATTTTCTTGCTTTTCCTCACTGTTTTCCTGTGTAAAGCTGCTGTCCACTGCTGGTGACAGCAGTTTTTCCCTTGTTCCGCTTCAGTTTTGGCTAGGAATTACTTGATTTCAAGCATTTCCTATCATAAAACTTACCGACTCATAATTATACTAGATTACCATTGATTTTGTTGAACTATATTTTAGAGGTTTAATTGTTCTACAATACTATTTTTCATTACATGAATATTTCCTTATAGTTTTAGAATAGAAACATATTAAAAATATCGGGCGAAAATGTTATACAAAAATATTTAAATGTCCAACACTATGTTCTCAATAACATATCCAAAGTTATGCGGTGAAAGTTTTTCCGTTTAAAAGTTATTTCAGTTCAGCCACAAGAACTTATATTTTAGATAAGAAAATTTTCAAAATCATCTAATTATTAAAAATTTACATAAGCAAAATGCAACCTACCTCGAGTCAGACAACTTTCAAAATTGACCTGACAACAGAAAATAACCCGAACTGGACCGAAATAAACTTTCTCCATCTAGAATTCCTCCTACTCTCTCTTTAGCTGGTTGCCTTGATTTGGCGGAAAAGAAATGGTTTAGTAGAAAATGATCTTTTTATATTAAAATTCGGCCGAGTGTCGCGACGCCCAATCATGCGCGTAACATTGCTCCCTCTGGGAGCCCATAATGCCACTCTAAGTGCTGCTGCACTTAATTAATTTCCAAAATTTTAGAGAGCTCAATGCTGTAGTGCCACCCACTTCGGCTCCGCGAAGCCTCAGGGGAAAATATTTAGATTTTCAGAATTTGCAAGCAACTACAGGGACTCGTTTCAGAACATATGCAGACTTACACATACATACAAAATATTATACACATGCATAATGATTTAAAATGCAAAAATTCAGTGGATTACCTTGAATCGGATAATGTCAAAATAGATGCAATTGTATCATGATTCTATAGGTGGTACATGAAGGAAGCATTAAAAGGCCCAGCAACAATTAATTATTACTGAAAGAGTGCTCATATTGAGTACCTCGTCATGTTGAAGAATATTGGTCCTGTTCAATGTACTTGAAAGATTTATGATTTTTTTTTTAATGAATTTTGACGTCATATCAAATTCATTCCATATGGATTACTTGTAACCTTGTTAGGAGCATAAGTACTACAAACAGCAAGAGCAGATCGTGTAGCACCAGCTATTACATTACTCTAACATTACTCCAAAGTACAAATTTATCATACTCTAGTCCTTCAACTTATATATGCCGTACTTTTTTTTTTTATTCCGGCCTATCTAAATATAGAAATTTCATTTTATCAGATCATCTAGAATTTGGTCGATTTTTTTTTCTGGTGGCTATGCCCATTTGATGGGCTCAACTTGTTACATGTGATTTTTAGTTGTAGATATTTCGATTGATTCTGCCGCGAAGTTATAAAGTGCTTTTCTTCTGCTTTTTAATTTATTCTTATAGCAATGTCTTTGGTTGTCAATTTACCGTTTTTTCATCAAATACGGATGCAATTTCACATGTGAATAACCTACTTAATGCGTATGATATATACTGTACATTATGAGATTTGGTATGCTAATACTATATTTTCTGCAGGGTGGAACTGTCTTGGCCATGACAGTCAATAAAGGAATAATTCTGGCTTTTGTTCCTTCTTGTGATCGTCAGGTATGAATATCATTCAGAAATTGTGTCTACTGCTGATTTTCTTTTGTGATTTGGTTTCCAGCATATTGATTTTATTTTTCATGTTAATCCTTGCTGGAACTTTGCTTTGTGAAAACTTTATTTTGCTTTTGGAGATTCCAGGTCTATTGCTTCAATTACAATTGTGTCAGTGCGTGAATAAGAAAAAATTTCTTTGCTTTCAAGAACAGTGAAGCATGAGTACTTCACTTATATTCGATTGGTTCCTTAACTTGTCAACCCAACTTTTAGATTTTATAGAATGAAGACTACTCATGTTCTGACCATAGTCTCATTATGGAAGAATTCTCTATTTTCTCCACAACAAGTGGCTCTAGTTTGGGTTCCTCTACTATTTTCAATGGAAAGCATTACTTCCTAAATGGTAGTGATCATTGTGGGAGAATTGAAGGTGTTATGGTGTTGCTGTATTGATGATTGGTGACTAAAGTTAATAATAATAGGGATTAATCAAGGAGGGCTAGGGTTTTATTTTTTCATGGTGAAGAGGGTTGGCCAAATTGGTTCATTAGAATCTCTCCAAGGAGGAGGCTACCTAACCATCCAACACAGAGGAAACTCCAAATCTAATAAATAATTCAATTACAAATCATGGGTTCTATTTATAAGAATAGGGTTGTAAGGATTAGGTTATTATTTAAATTCAATCTAATTTTATCTGCAGATCAAGCCAAATATTATCCAAATATTCAAACGTAAATTTATTTGAAAGAATTATTCAATCTAATAAAAATGAATCAATTAAAAGTGATTGAAAATTTGGTCATAATTAATTATGATTATAAAAATGGTTGAATATTGGTCAAATTAGCTCGGTTGTAGCATAGTTTGATTTTTTTTTTTTTTAAATTGATCTGTGGCCAGTTGGGCTTTTATGGGTTGATTTGGCCCTGATTTAGACTGCGTCAATTTCTTTTTCGCTTAAAAACCTAATTCTCTACTGTGTAACCCATAAACTTGGCCTAGCTTCTGTTCAACAACCCTCAAACTGATTACTGTTTAAATCTAGGTGATGTTGCATGGCTGAAACTTCTAACAGTGAGCTTTCTACACTACTTCTGCCTGCAGCAATCACTTACTGTTCATGCTGCATCACATTCTTTCTACAAGATATTATTATTTTTATATTTTATAGTCATTCTATATTTCTATTTTAAAATTATATTGTATATTCGGTATGTTTCTATTATATTTGCAAGCTAATGCACTGAGTTATAACTCTATTGTTTCTGTTCAATCTCTGATGTACTTAATTTTTCTACTGTCATGTTGTTTTAATTTGCAAGAGTTCCTGAGTTTGAAAATGATGTCCTTTTCCAGTATTTATCTGTATTTTTATAATGTGTTTTTTGTATTAGGTTGTATTGCGCTCTGGGCAATTTGCAGGGGACGTGAAATTCAGGTAAAGACATCCTGTCAATTCCTCTGTTGATAAGCATGAGAAAAGTGAAAGTTAGAATTATCATTTAGCATGCTTGTGTAGATTGATGTACTCTTACCCCAACATTGTGCAGAGGGTTTGTATTTTTTGACTTTAACCTAAGATCTCCAGATCATAATGGAGATAATCATTGCTCCGTATGCATGTGCTCACACAATCATATATATATAACGTTGTGTGTGCCTGCATTCATGTTTTTATGGTTGTGTGTAGATAAAGGGCCATTAACTTGGGCGATGTTTTTTTATCAGCTGCTTTCAGCTGTCTTTACAGAGCTTAATTCTACCTTGTATCTTTAACGAAGTCATAAATATAACATTCAAACTCCTCTGGCATGAATGAAAATGAACAAGGGAATTTACATAAATTTCATAAATTCTTATATATTTAAATATCTAATATCTAAATTACATAAAAAATTTCGGTAACATTAACTTGTTTAAAATAAAATGCATGTTTTTATGCAAATGTTTGATGTAAGTTAGATACTTGGGTGTTATGCAAGTAATTTCAAAGATTTAGGTGTTAGGGGTGTAAATATATAAGAATTTTTTGGCATGAAGTAAATCCCCCAAATGAATATGTGAAAATCTTACAATATAAATATCTCTTTATTGCCAGCCAATTATTGTTCTTGATTTTGGAGATGCTGTTTTGGACAGATACTTTCTAGTGTAGCTGGTGAAACTGTAACTTCTCCTTAACATTAATCGGAAACCTGAAACTATTGCAGCCTTGGTAACATTTTGCTTCAGGACTGTGACTTTGTTTTGTTTCCCTTGAAGTTATTTTTAAGCCTGTTGAGAAGAAAATTGAACTTTGATGCTTTAATTGAAATAACTCTCTATTTGGTTGGCTGCATTTTGTGATCAAATCCTGTTGTTTGGATTCAATGATAGAGGACAATTTAAATGCTGGATAGCAAGAAACATTTGAACGATAAAAACACTGATTTTGGTTTTCTATGCTATGAATAATCTTTGTTATATTGAATCATCAATATCCATTCTCTCCTCTGACTCCTTTTCAGTTGTTGTCTTTTGTTTTCTTAATAGGACATCCTTGCTCTTATAAGAGCCAACATTCGAACTTATTTTTTTGCACTATTACAGAGTTGACGAAGAACAACTCCCAAGGAGCTCAATGCCTGTTAAAGAAAAAGATTCTAGTTGGGGATGTTATGCAAGAGGAGCTCTTTATGCTTTGCAAAAGACAGGAAAGAAGTTGAACGAGGTGAAAATCACCTTTTTATTAAATTTAAGCTTCTTAAGGTCCTAGCCAGTTCTGATAATTAATCTAAGCAATCCTTTTGTGTGATCAAGATTCATCTTAGTAGTCACTGATACGTTTTGTCATTCATATGGGCTTTATATGTGGTAGAATGTCAACAGTATTTTATGAAAAAAATTCATCAAGTTTTTTGGCTCTTTTTATTTTTTCTTTGGTTTTCTTATTGAAAAGCCAATGCTTAAGAGGGTTTGTCCTGAAGATAAGACATTATTTGGATTTTGGACTTTAGTAGATCAGTGTACTTGGCTGGTCTGAATAGGCTCATGGAAGATTAATACTCTTCTCTTTTATTTAAGTCCATTTGGTTAGTCATTTCTATTAGATGGGGATATTATTAGTAGAATTCAAGTTAGATTGTTGAAGTGGAGGAATGCATCGAGCTTGTTGTGTGATAGAAAGTCCCTCTCAAACTTAAGGGAAAATTCTATAAGATGGTAGCGAGACTTGCAATGCTTTATGGTGCAAAATGTTGGCCATTAAAAGAGAAGTATAATATTAAGTTAAGTGTTGTAAAGATGAGGATGCTTAGGTGGTTGAGTTGCTTTACTCTTAGAGGCAGGATACGAAATGAGCATATATGTCAAAAGGTTGGAGTAGCTCTAGCGGAAGATAATATTAGAGAGTTGCCTTAGATGGTTTGTTCACATAAAACGACAGCATTCCGATGACCTGGTTAGGAAAGCAAATTTATTAGATTTGACTTATGTTAAGAAACGCCTTAGACTTGGTTAGAAAATATCAGAAATGACATTTCTTTATTAGATTTAGATGATAATTTGACTCCTAATATGACACAATTGAGAAAAATGACTCATGTGGCTGACCCCACTTGTTGTTGTTGTTGGTTAGTAATTTCTATATACCAAAAATTGTTAAGTGGCTTAAAGTATATCTTGTTGTTGACATTAGACCTGAAAGCCAAACTTTTAGTGGATTTAGTGTTTTGTGAACATAAACGGGAGCATCGCACAAGATTAATGGACCAAGGTGATCTTCTGCCAAAGTTGAAATATTGATACCGATGCATATATAAAGCTGCCCTCTGAAATATTGAGAATGTCATCATCTCCTTGTACTATGTCTTGTTGTTTGATCCTAATGGAGTTTTCACATTTTTTATAAGGCGGTGTGTTTATCAAGATGCTCTAAAATAACTTAAAAGTACCCCCTGCAATGGAATGCCAAGCATGCTGTAAATGTTCTTAATGAGCACACGAGCAATAAGATTATGATGCAGCCGACAGAACATATTCTTAGGGAATTTTATGGTAGTGAAGCCCATGTTTGCGGATTGACAATTTGATGGATTTTTGACAATTATGATCATATATGGAAGATCTTTTTTTTTTTTCTTTAGAAAACCCATCTATAAATACATCAGCTATTTACTGGAGAGTTTTTATATCCTATCAATTAATTATTATATTCAAGTTCATTTTTCATTTTAATTGTAGAAACCGATCCATTGTAATAAGATAGGTTCAAGTGGTTTGAGTGCACTGGACTAAATTTACATAATAGGTGATTGTGAGGCTGCCGGTTTGTTCCTCTAAAATGGCCATAATTGTTGGTCTTTTGCACATAGATCAGATTTATGAAACTTTATTGAGATTTTGGATTCTAACCAATCTTGTTGTTTCCCATATTGTGAAAATATGGCAGGGCATCATTGGTTTCATTTCTGGATCAGATGGTCTTGACAGCTCCGGGCTTAGTTCATCAGCGGCTGTATGTTAGAACACTTTTTTTCTATCTTTTTTATTTTTTATTTTTTTCTATTTTCTTCTTTTTATTCATAATGATAATAAGCGCCACTATCATTAGGGTGTTAACAAGTAGAGCTTGAGTGAGTTTGTTATGTGTTCATGATAAGCTTGTTCAAATTTTCATATATTCCTGTTCGGCTCATTCATGAATATTATATTTGTCTTTGGTTCATTTGAATTCAAGCCTAACAAAAGCCGATTTCAAATAAATAAAAATAAAGAGATAATGAGTTGAACATTCTACTTATCTACTAACTAAATAATAAATTAAAAAAGCTATTAATCACTCATAATTATCATTATTTTCATTTACAACACCATTTGTTAGATATGAAGGCAAGTCTCCATTATTCTAGATAAAAATTTTGTGCTCTTGCGACAAGTGTTGCACCTGTTTTTTCAACCATGGTGCTGGTTCCGTTAGTCCTTAAATCGTCTAGACAGTAGCTGAGTCTTTCCACCAAGATGAATGTGGCTGTGTGTTGACCTCTAAGTATTAACCAATGAAACAAAAAAAAAGATCAAAATACCTGCAAATTACCTCTGCTAAATCCCGCAAATTCTGCCAAAATCCCGCAATACCACTATACATCCGGCGCCGTTCTGGGATTTCTACAAAAATCCTGCGTCGATCCCTCGATCCCACTCCCATTCGGGTCTTTAAATACCGAGCGAACGGAGCTGAAGCACCGCTCCTCTCATACGAACTCCACTGTGCCGATCTCAAGAACCCCAACCCCTCTCTGCCATTTCTTCTTCCCAACTCCCGACCACCAGCGCCTGTAGCCCGAGCCGATCCCCTCTGTCCAGAGAGAGAGAGAGAGAGAGAGAGAGAGAGAGAGAGAGAGAGAGAGAGAGAGAGAGAGGGATTTCCCCTACCTTGATCCAGCCAAAGGTCCAGCTACTCGAGCCGCCCTTCTTGTCCGATCGGAAGCAACACGGGGAGCTCGTTGGCTATGAGGGTAATTTCCTACCTTTCACGCGCTCCTCCGGCTCCTTGTGGCCGCTCGACTTCGCTCACTTCACGACTCTCCCTCTCGGTTTGATCGGAAGCAACATGGGAGCTCTGGTTGCTGCGAAGGTAACTCTCTCCCTCTCACGCGCTCTGCTTCGGCCAAATCCCGTAATTCTGCCAAACCGAGGGGTGTAAATAAAAAAAAAATATTATAAATAAAATAATTATATTTAATTATAATTGTGTCATTTTAATTATAATTAGTTAGAATTATTATTTTTAATAATCATGTTTTTTATAATTAATTACAAATTGATTTTAATCAAAATAATTATAATTAAATTTAATTAATTATAATTAAATTTGATTAAAATTAATTTTAATTTATTATACTTTATAAAATATAATTATTATTAATTATTATCGATTAATTATGATTTATTAAAATTAATTAATATCAATGAGTTTATAATTAATTATAAAATTAAATTATGAATTTATGATCTAATTATTTTTAATAAGATTTAATTAATTATCTTAATTAATTATAATTAAAGTGATTAATTAAAACTAATTTATTAAATAATTATAATTAATTGATATTAATTGCAATTAATATAAAAAGAAAAGAAATTGCCCTCTCTCTCTCTCTCGATCCTCGAGCCTCCACTACCGACAAACCTCGCGAAGGTACGGACTTCCTAAACTCATATTCTCGCTTTCGTTGTATGCGGCGGACCGAAAAACCGCCTATACACGCCTTTATTGCGCGTGGTGGGATGGGACCCCGGTCCGACGCCTATGACGAGGCGGGCAATCACCTAAACTCTACTTCGGCGTTTGTGGCGCACCGGAAAATCGCCTATACACGCATTTATTGCGCGTGGTGGGATGGGACCCCGGTGTGGCGCCTACGACGAGCTGGGGTCACTCATAAGTACCTCCGAGCGGGGGGAAAGCAAATTATGTCTTTTAAACAGGTACCGTCAAAGACCTCATACACGCCTTTATTGCGCATGGTGGGAGGAAAAATCACGGCCGCGATGTCCTCGTTTGAGGACACCTACCATACACGCCTTTATTGCGCGTGGTGGAAAGGTCCTATTTTCTCGTAGTTTTCTCCTAAACGGGGGAGATGCCGGTAGGCTACCGAAATTTCGGGTGAAAACATGACTGTACTCGGACCTGTTTGAACTCAAAAGAACAACGAAGGACTTGTACTTGGACTTTTGAACAAAATCTAAATGAATTAATAAAGAATTGAACCCAAGTAAAATGAAATTGAACTAAAATCAATTTTGAACTTGAGGATTCGGGGGACTTGAACAAACTGCAAAGGACATGGACTTGATTCATATCAAATGATAATGGACTTTGATTCAAACTTGAGCCAAACTTGCATATGACTTGAACAAAACTTTGGACACAGAAAGCTTGGACTTAACAAACTATACAAAATCAAGCCTAAACTAAGGTGAAACGAGCTAAACCTAGCTCAAATAAAAAGGCACTTGCAAAGACATTGCAGAAGACTTCGATTTAAACTTGAAAGAATAATGACTCAAGATTGTAACTCGGGATAACTACAATGAAATTGATTTGGACAGTGTAGATAACTTGAACGATATGGATCACAAAGAGCTCGACTTGGGTGAATATAAGCTCTAAGGAACTTGAATGGAGTATGTAGAACCAAACCTTGGATCGATGAATAAATAATTGAGATCTAAGCGAATCTTAATCATTCAAGTGGATATAAATGAGCATAAAGCTTGTGCTGATCAAGGAATTCCAAATGAAATTTTATGGCAAGCCACAATATTTAATCAATCATACGCAAACGATAATATCTCCTATATGCATATGTAAAGAAAGAGAGTGGTAGTACAAAGAAGAAATGTTTGAAGATCGCATACTAAGTTCAAGTCGAAATTTGACTCTCCTACAACCAACACAAGCTGACATACAAACTCTCAATGACATCAAGAGGTCATGCAAGAAACATAGTGTCCCACAAATAATCAAAGGACTGCACTTGCTTATAGATGCATACAACAGTCTCTTATGGATATGAGCTAGCTTACAAATAAATACAGTAGTAAATGCCTACGAATTATAAAAGAAGACTTGTCATACATATGGCGTGTTATCTACGGATAAATACAAAAGATCTATAATGGATTATTCTGTGATATAGATACAGTAACATATTTGCAAATCAAAGTTGATGATAACACATTAGGTGCTAATGATCATAAGTTGATACCAAAGATCCATTCCACATTCCATATGTCAGAATCAGTAATGCAGTGAAAAAGGCAAGTTATTGATTCAAAATACTGGTCACTGATTTTGAAGTATAAGGCATTGGTAGGGATACAATCATCCAAGGTAGAAGTGATGGGTTCTTCAAGCCAATAACAGAGAACAAGGAAGACGACATAATTGATAAAGCACTTATTGATTTCTATACGAGTTTTGGAAAGAGAAAGCCAGTTCAAATCAAGATTGAGTGAATCTCAATTCAACTAAGTTATGAACATTGAGTTGGATAAGATTATGGAGGTTTGCAAATTTCTTGATGAACAGTAGTCGTGCATCCAACATATTGTCTGTGTGCAAATATTGAAATACTACAACAAGTGCAAGCTCCTACGACAAAAGCAGGAGATTAGTTAGTGCACTATAATCAACCTGCACAAATCATCCAAGTAGTGCACGACAGTCTACCTGTACAAAGCAGCAAACCACTGATCCAGAAGCTGCTACAACACGCCACCGGATCTGCAACATCCTTACAAGCGGACAGAAGGTGTTTACAAATATTGCAGAATACCCCTGCACGTGCACCATAGTTTGTATACACATAGGTACACTAAAAGGGGTAAAAGAAATTATAACACCTGCATGTTATTGGTACACATGTGTGTGGGCTCCGAAAATTCGACCCCGGCCTCCGCTCGCTATTTCTTATTCGGCGAGGGAGTTTTAACGAGCTAAGTTCCGAGGTAAATTTTGGAAGGCAGATGGGTTTTAAGTGAATTCAAGTTCGAACCCGATCCTTCTATACCGATCGATAGGAGTCGACAGGGTTCGAACCATTAAACAAATATAAGGTTGTGGCGACTGGTATATTTGTTTTAACATATTCATATTAGGCCTTCAAGGCCTATAATAATATGAATTCACTAACAAAGGTATAAAACATACGAAATTCGATCCTCTGTCGACAGCCAGACAGAGTCGACAAGGTTCAAGCAACAAATGAAAATGCCCCCAAACACCCCGATGATGGTCGTGTTGAATGCAGATCTCAATCGGAGGGGTTCCCAAACATTTTCAAATGTCTCCTAAATATTCAAAATTCATTTCAAACAATTCAAAGCTCCACCCAAATACCTACAAAAACCCAAAATTCTAAGAAATCCAGATCATTCTAAATTACAAAGATATTTAAAATTAAATCAATCCATCAAAGACATAAAACAAAATCCATCCACCCTCTGCGACAGTTTGCCGAGGTGGACAAATTAAAATTTACTTCAGCTCACAAAAGAGCTAAATGCTTAGTCGAAAATATAACTAGGATCCATTCTCAAACAATCTCCTGCCAATAAGGACGTGGTACATGTCCTCTAACCGGCGGTTTTGCCGCCAAATGACACCGCAAGATAAACGGTTATGACCCGAGGCCCTCTGAACCGAGTGGTTTTGCCGCCAAATGGCACCATGAAATACAAGTTATGTCCAGAGCTGATACGCTTCTTAGTGGCATCAAATCCTTGAGATATGAATCAATAGGATATGATCGATAGGGCACAAAGCCCTCTGTTAGCTAAGGTGGATTCAAATTTGTCCCCTTAGACAAACATTCAACCCCGCCATTACTCAGATCATAAAGTCCTCGCAAAATGAGGGCGAAATCTCTGGGTAGTGTCTTATCTACAAACCCATCTGCCTTCCAAAATTTACCCCGGAACTTATTCCGTTAAAACTCCCTCGCCGAA